CTACCTTGAGGTTCTGTCTGCAGGCAGGTTCCTGGGTAGAGAAGACCCTCAGGCCAGCTGTAGCATGTCTCAGAACCAAGATGCCCAAGGTTTTCTAATGACTGGTACTCCCTTCTGTCATACCCTTTTGTCTATGCTTTTCCCACAAGTATTTTTCCCCCCATCAAAGTGTTAGGTTGTTCAATGCTGACCAGTGATTATGCAGCCTGATGGGTTGGTTAGGTTGGGTCTGCAAAGCTCCTCTCCAGGTGTAGCCCCTTCTGCGTGGAACGAGACTGTTGCTGGTTTCATGTGGGGCTTACAATAACAGGTGCTAGTAAAGCAATTGGCGAGCACTGACAGGTGCTGAGGTATAGTTGCACCAGGCTGATTTTGTAAATTAGTTATAATGTGATTGTTAGAAACAGCTCATTGCCTGAGGTCCCAAGTGTGTTTATTTGCACGAAGCACGCCAAAGTTAAACCAAGCCCGCCGCTGTGCAAGCGCTCCCTGTTATTATGGTAGCCCCAAGGGAAGGCTCCCTAGCTCTCTTTAGTGCGATCTTGCAAGCGAGGTGCCCATCATAGCTAATCCCTTCACGAGCGAGAAGCTTGCCAGACAGAGTGCTGATGCCTAAGGCGGTCTTTCTCTTCCTTTCCCAGGCCAGTTATTGCTGAAGTGCATCCTCAAGCCACTGATTTCTTACCCATCCCTTCAGCCCTCGGTTACGGAGCAGCCCGAGGCGGTCGTCTTGCGGTTTGAGACTATAGAGCCTAATTCAGAGCCGTCGTCTCCAGTAGAGGTGTTTGACAAGATCAGGCTGGTTCTCGAAGTCCTCCACACACAGCTGCTGAGTAGGTAGTCTGCCCTCTGCGGGTTAGCATAAGATTCCACTCACCACAACTGGCTCATCTGCCTGGAGCGGAGACCCCTCAGAATAGCCAGCCGTGGTTCACAGCAGTGCCTGTCTTGTGTAAGACTGCCTGTAATACTGGAGCAGCAGTGCCCTATCCAGGGAGCTGTAGGGTTGCTTTGCAGCTCTGTGTTGCATGGCAGTACTGAGGGCAGCGTTGATGCCACATAGCTAAACGTTGCTCCCCCTGCGTTGAGATCCCCTAAGCTTTCTAGGTCCTTGGGTTGCACAAAACTGGGCCTGCAAGCAGCTTTGCCTCCTCTGTTTTTTGACTGTGTGTGGTAGTTGGGGAAGGCTAGGAAGATGGGAAACAAGAGACTGTCTATGAAAATTGTGGTGTTAGGGTCATGGACTTTGAGGAAAGTAGCCGGGACACTGACGTGAGGAAATAGGGCTGGAACAACAGTTTGTGCCATGACTCAGAACGCTAAGGAGAAGTATGTTCCTTGAAAACAATGATTCAAATAGGATTACTGCTGAAAGACTCTAGGAATGAATGCTTCTCTGTGGTCATTTTTTCTTAGTATAGCCAAATCAAGGCTGTCGTGTAATATGTCAAGACGTGATTGTCAGAGCTGGAAGCCTGCTCTAATCCAGGGGGGCCCGCCCTTTTGCTGGCACGCCTCAAGTTGTCCCTGCATCCTCCCTGACAGCCACTCTGATCCCCTTCCCCTGCCCGAGATGCTGCTTTTCTGTCTGTTCCCACCTCTGCCCCTGTGGCAGTTGTACTGCAGGGTGGGCACCCCCACTATAAGTTGTGCAGCTTTGAGATACAACTAACTAGTGCCATCAAGGCTAAGGCGCTCATGTAGCAGATGTGCCAGCAAGACAAGGTCACTTTATACACAAAATCTGTTGGTGACAGGGAGTTTGATAAACCAAGCACAGGCCCTGATGTGAAAAACGGCAGGTGGCACCAGTGCCGGGTTCTGTTCCCAGTTCATTGCACTTCAGAAGGGGATGGGGAGGGTCTGACCTACAGGGCCGGTGAAAATGTATTTACTTTCTCTTGGATCTAGACGTGCCTGTGGATGAGCGCGTGGAAGGGGAGAAGGATGGCCGCAGTGTATTAGCACAGGTGCTAGGTGACATGATCTGGGGAGAGCTGTCGGACTGCCTCATCCAGGACTGCCTGGTATATTCGATTCCCACAAACAGCAACAAACTGGAGCAGTATGTCGAGGTAGGATGCAGCCCTCAGAATTCCTGTAGTGCCAAGTCAGGAAAGACAGCCTCGGTGGTCATTGTAACTGGCTCAGCTCTCATTCTCTCTGTCCCCTGCTGCCCTAGGAGGCTTTGAGGTTGCGCAGTGGTACATTGCCCTGCTGTGCTGATAACAGCCCAATGTTTTTACTTTAAGTTGTGCCCTTTCCTGTGCCCTGGCACAAAAATCAGCTGTGTGCAGAGAGCAATAGCGAGTCCCTGAGCACAGATGAAGCCAGGCTGAGCATGCTTTTGTCAAGAAGCTGCTCACAACAAGGGCATTAGCATATTAATTGTGGCAGCATATCTGACTGATAGTCACTGTTTTGAGCACACAGTGGGTGCTGGAGGCAGTGGACAACTCCATGCTGTGCTGTGATGCCAGGAGAGCGATGAAGGTTGCCAAACCATCAACACTGCTCCTCCTGCATTGCTGCTGCTTCCTCTCCCCAGCTGCCCTGTGGTGCCTCCCTGCTGTTCAGCCAGGAGTTGTACCTTTCTTCTCAATAGATGTGCATGGCATATAGGGAGGATTTTGGGATGGCATGCCAAAGGCTCGCAGTGCCCTCAGCACAAAACTGGGGGTGTTTTTCTGTGAGAGCTCTGAGTGGGTTTCAGAGGCCAGAGCCTCACCTCTGACCCTGCTGATCAGTGGACAATAGCTTTGTGCATTAACATAGGCTGCCGGTGCGTGCCACTTCCTTTGCAGGTGATTAAATCCACGGAGGAATTTGAAAAGGCCCTGAAGAGCATGTGCTTTCTGAAAGGAGATGTCACAGACTTGCTGAAATATGCGAGGAACATCAACGCCCACTTCGCGAACAAGAAGTGCCAGGACGTGATAGTGGCGGCCAGGAACCTCATGACATCAGAAATCCACAACACTGTCAAGGTGCTGGCTGTTGTATTATACCATTTCACTTAGTTGTAAGAACACTGGTTGCCGTGGAAAGGCAGGTTGTTTCAAGGAAGCTAGATCTCCTTTCTTTATCTGGGGAGACTTTGTAAGGCGAAGCTTTGTCCTGAAGCTTTAGGCAGCCCTCCGGTGCATGAGGGGCTGACAAGCAGCGGATGAAAAGTGTGAAAGTTTTCCCTGAGTGAGATGGCTAGCAGTCGGGTGTATGTGGCAACAGAAAGAAAATGGAAGAGAGCATTGCCTACTAGGTGTCGCCTCTTCCACTCTGAGTGTTTAGTTTTCTGAGCCCAGCACTGGAGTTTGCATAGAGTCGCGTAGAGTTTGCAGTATGTATCCGCCTTCTTCTGTCCCTGTGTTGCAGGCTCGAGGGCATGACGTGTGTCTCTCGTTTTCCCTTAGATAACACCCGAGTCCTCAGTAGCATTGCCGAAACTGCCTGACCCCACTGCGGAGGATCACGTGAAAATGCAAAAAGCCTCAAAAACTCTGCGCAACGAGATGGTGAACTTAGAGAATGAGACCAAGCTGAGCCAGCACACGTTCTCTCTGCCTGCCTGCCGCATCAGCGTGTCAGTGGAGAGACTGATGGAGCTGGCTTATCAGACGCTGTCGGAAGCAACAGCCAGCACAGATCAGTGGTAAGACCTAGGGGCTAGGGAGAACACAGGACCCTGGGATACCCCAGTGCAGGGAACTATGCAAGAGATCTGTTGTGAGATAGGAAGCATTTGAAATGACAGAAAATGTAGTTTTGGGAATGGAGATAAAGTCATAAAGGAGAGCTGCTAGGTGTCCAGCTGCAGCCTGAACCCCCCCAGGTGTATCCTACATGCTGGTATTGCAGGATTGGCTGCAGGGCAGGCTCTGCAGGAGCACTGAGGGGGCTTTTACCACATGGTAGCTAGGGTAGTCAGTCACACAGGATAGCAGCGGTTCGCAGCTGATGTGTAGTTGCAGTCTCCTTGAACTGGCCAGAGCAAAAGCAGTAGGTCTCCTCACGTGGTTTTTACCATGGTAGCTATTGACATATCAAAAACTGCACCTCTTGTGGATCGAAAAGGCACCAGTTCACTGGTATCGGTGCCAGGCATGTCTTGCGTGGCCTGCCTGCTGTTGTGCAGCGTTGGTACCTGACACCTGGCCACAGATACGAAGCAGCAGTGCGTTATTGAGGCCCCATGTGGATATTGCAAGGGGACAGCCATACTGAGCTCTGCTACTTACCTGTGCTGGAGACCACCACCCCCTTTGGAGAGGGAGGGTTTCCTATGTACAGGGTGCCAGGCAGATGGGGATTAAGTTGCAGAGGGGTGTGTGTGTGTGTGTTAATTAGGGAAATTTGTCCCTCCTCAGTGCCAGAGGCTTTTTAATGGTCTTATTCCTGACATTGGTCTGTAGGGCCAGAGCATGCCTCTGTCTGACAGGGCTCCTCCAGGCACAGCTGCTGAGCACCCAGGAGTGCACGTAGTGCTGAGCACCCAGGAGTGCACATAGTACTGGCTACCTGCTCTCTGGGTGAGGTTGTTTTGTGGGGAGCCTTTGTAAGGCTGCTCAGGTGTTTCTGTTTATTGACATTGTGGCTTACAGAATCAATCCTGACAACTCTCCCTTTGTGTGTGTGAAGGGCAGGGAGTGGTGCTCATTGTTCTTGGGTAGATATGACTGAGCTGGGTAAGAGTGAGGGGCAGAGGTGTGGAAGAGGCTGGGCATTAGCTCGCAGGCTTAAAGGGAGCTTATATCCTGGAGGCAAGATATGTTGCCTAGTGATGGTGAATACATGTTGTGGGCGTGGTAAATAAAAGATTGGGGCATCATTCACTTTTCCCCATTGGCACAGCCCTGGGTTTGGCCTTCAACAATATACCTCATGTCCCACACCCAGAGATCTGTGAGGACAGCTTTGTCCTTGGTGGTGGCTACCAGGCCACGTGTGCTTGCCAAGCTGTCATCCAGGAGCCTGTGCTGAGGTGGCAGCAACTGTTGCCTGTGAGTCTGCGAGCAGGATCCTGGGTTCTACCATAGTTCAGGTGCAACTCGTAAATGCCAGCGTCTATGCCTTGTACTGGTCCCTGTCTCTTCAGTACCATCCTGACTGCGGATTGTGGTGGTAGATTATTATTCATGTACAGTAAAGGGGATGGGGAGGACCAGCGTGCACCCAGAGTGAGCCAAGCCTGCTGCTGTGGCTACAGCTTGTGCCATGTGCATCCACAAAGGGGATGTAGGCATCAGATGTAGCTGTGCTGGTTACTGTTGAGATGCTCTAGACAGTGTATGTGCCTCCCTCGGCAGTGCCTTTGGAAACTGTTGGTGCAGCTGGGTGGCCAGGTAGCAGTGCAGGGAGATGTGGTGTCTGCACACCCTGTATCCAAATCCTACCTTTTATGCGAGATGAGGCCCTAAGTGCACTGTGCTGCAGCGGTGCCCTTGTGAACACCTTGCTGTTGTCACGTGAACCAAAAGCAGTGCAGCCAAAAGCAAGGCGCTGCGGACAGGGTAGCTAGCACTGTCAACCAGCAGGCCAGCTAGCCTCTGCAGCATGCTGCAGAAGGGGCTCTGCTGTCTTGAGCATGGAGCAGCACAGTGCATGCAGGGCACTGTGGTAGGCATAGTAATTTTAAAGTGTGGTTCTGCCTTTAGTGAGCTAACAGCATTAGAGAAATGGGATGCTTGATGGAATGTGCTTCACTGACCTAGGCACATATGAACCACCCTGCTGTCCCCCCAGGTCCCTGTGGGTTATTTGTGGCTTCGTAGTCCTAGCACCTCTGTAAAGATCTGCTAGATCCCCTGTTACTTCCAGCTGCAAGATGAACAGGAGCCTTTCTTTCCCTTTGCAGTTGTATACAGCTCTTCTATGCGGTGCGAAACATCTTCCAGTTGTTCTACGATGTCGTGCCAACCTACCACAAGTAAGTGGGGCTTGTGCCTTGCTCTCCAAATGCCTGTGTTAAAAAGGAAGCCAGTCTTTTTATAATGCTTGTGCCTGTTTTGGTATTTGTCCGGTGGATTTGTGGCTGGACAGGTGGAGGCTTGCGCTGTTTCTTGAAAAGGGTCCTTGCTGCTGCAGAATATTTGTTAAGAGAGTCTGAGTGTCTGGCACCCCACAGCAGAAAGCTGGCTGTGTATTCCTGTAGCAAGGAGAAGCTGAGTAGGACCCTGGTGGCCTGCTCTGTTGACACATAGCATATTTTACAAATGTCACAAAAGCATCCTGAAGCCCAGTAGGAATTCTGTCTGACTGAGGTCCGGCCACAGATGAGGCTTGTGCAGTGGATTTCTGCAGCATGAACAGTAGTCTGCTTTGGCCAGGCATTGAATAGCAGAGTCCCTGCTGGGGTGTAGGATGGCTGCGCATACTTTGTGCATCTAGCTCATTGTAGTAGAGGTGACAGCCTGGTTTTCAGCCAGTTCCAGGCCTTGGTTCAGGCCACGTAACCCTTCAGCTCTTGCCTGGCAGCGAGACTGTTTCCTGGTGTGTGTTCCTGGTTCCTGCTTATAGGAAAGAGTATTAGTAAGGACAGAACCAAAACTGAGTTTCAGAAGGCTGGGCCCTACCTACCTGGTATGACCTGTCTGGGAAGGTTTCTCCCTCGCCTCCCCTGGGCCTGCTTGCAGGCTAAAATGAAATGTCTCTCTTACCTCCGTTTCTGGATCTGACCCAGGGTGAGGGTGCAGAAGTGTCAGGGTAGACTTAGCACAGAATTAATGGGTCTTTGTTTCTCTTCCTCCTTCCACGGGTAGAGAAAACCTGCAGAAGCTGCCACAGCTCGCTGCCATTCACCACAACAATTGCATGTACATTGCTCACCACCTGCTGACGCTGGGCCATCAGTTTCGATATCGCCTTACCAGCATGCTGTGCGATGGAGCAGCAACATTTGTGGATCTGGTCCCTGGTTTTCGGAGGCTTGGTAATGTCACATCCAGTATTGCGGTCTTTCAGCTGACCCAAGTGCATCTCATCCTGGCAGTCATTCCCAAGCCCTTTGTCATTTTCTGTCGGCCAGTAATTAGAGCAGCCATTTGAAAATGGAGAAAGCCTGAGACAAGTCACTTGGGCACGATGAGAGCCCAGGATTACCCATATGGTGGGTTGGGGTTTCCAAGCACTTGTGAGACTTCACCATGAGCTTGTTCACTACTTCATGGTACCATATTTTAAGGGGAGCACAGCAAGCGGGCACACAAGTTCCTCTATAGTGTGGTGTCAGTCCACAGCAGCTTTCTATCTCTGCATCTGTCAGGACAGACAGTCTTGTCCCAGAGTGCTGGCTTTGAGTAGCCTTAACGGGTAACCCCCAAGGCTACCCAAACACGGCCTCAGAAGTGGCCAGGCCCTTCTTGTAATGGCACGGGGCCACTGCGGCTTTACATAAGCAGCCTCCCTTCTGACTGACCAAAGGGTTCCTGAGAAGTTGACACGAAAGCACGAGGCTGTCCTCAGTGCTCTCCAGCTGTACAGTGTGTGTAGGAGCACCCGGTGTCAGGGACAACTCTTTGGGCAGAGATTAGTCCCGTGGGCATGTTGGAGGCCTGTCTTACAAATGGTTCTGTAGCTCAGCGCTGTTCCAGCTGCATTCAGCACCTCCTTGGTGTGCTGTGAGAAGTTACTAGGGTCCCAGCCAGAGCCTGAGGTAGCAGCAGAGTAGGGCGCACTGCATGTGTCTGGCCAGACTAGATTACCTAGTCTGTGGCAGTATAAGGAATAGGGGTGGGGGTTCTGTGGCAGAAGTGCTGCAGAAGGGTTCATTGCCTGCAGAAAGGTGGACAACAGGTGTTCTAGAGTCTGGGCAGAAGTTAGAGAACTGGAACATGGGGAAGCGGGCAAACAAGAGCAAGGGCTCTCTCACTCAGCGGTAAGGCTGCTGTCTAGCCCCTTTGTCATTTGTTGGCACTGTGGGAAGCAGAGCTGTGAGAGCTCTTACATGCTAGGTAAAGGTGGGGTGACTGAGATGACTTTGTCTTTTCCCATACAAATAATTGCTTCTGCCCTCACCTGCCATGCCAGGGATTGAGTGCTTTCTGGCCCAGATGCGTGCCCAGAAGGGGGAGCTCCTGGAGAGATTGTCCAGCGCAAGGAATTTTTCCAATGTGGACGATGAGGAAAACTATGCTGCAGCCAACAAAGCCATAAGGCAGGTGAGCAGTGCCAGGAGGTAGGTTGCCCAGGTCCTAACCAAGAGGCCAGTTGCCCTTTGTGAAAAAGGGGTCATGAGACCGCAGCACTGATGCAAGGCAGGGAAGTCAAGTTTAGCCGAGGAGAGACAAGAGCCTTTGCTTGCTGTCATTTGGTGGTGCTGTGTGGAAAATAGGATGGGGGCAGTGTTGTTTCCGCTGACTTCCAAGGGAAAGGCAGCTGTAATGTGAAGTCATACCCACAAATGACAGAAATGGAAACTGAGTGTCTTGTGGTGACCCTAAGATTTTTGAGAGGAGCAGTAATGCGTTGTGACCAGCCGCAGAGCCAAGTGTGATACGTCACTCTAGTAACAGGAGCCACTGTGAAGTCACAGGTACCTGCACCAGCAATTGTGGCTAACCAGGACCCATCCATCCCCAGGTGTTGCACCAGCTGAGGAGACTGGGCAAAGTCTGGCAGGACGTGCTGCCAGCGACTGTGTACTGCAAAGCCATGGGGACGTTGCTGAACACGGCCCTCGTGGAGATCATCAGTCGAGTCACAGCCTTAGAGGTAAGAACCGAGGGCAGGCACAGGGCGTGCCAGGGCTAACGTGTAGGTGTAAATATAACTCCTGCAATATGTGGTCACCGTGCAGATGAGCTGTCAGGAGGTTCAGCTGCAGGGGTGCCGTTGTCTGCCAAGGAAGTAATGAGTAGGTATAATGTGATGAGTGCTCTGGGGGTCTGTAACCCAGGCCCCGTTGAGCCTGCAGAGAGGAGGAAACCCTGAATCCATGGAAGGGAAGCGCAAGATGCCTGTTAATCACAGCGGAGGAGACGTTCCATGCTTTTGGTTGGGGTACCCAGCTCCCTGGGGTAAAGGGTGAAGACAGTGGGGCTTTGACATGGAGATGGTGGTACCTGCAGCAAAGGTCAGAGGGCAGTACCCTGAGGTCTGATTGCCGGGGGAATGGCACTACCCCCTTGCAAGTAACTCGACCTGACCCATCCCCTGCCATGCAGCTGTACCGCAGCGTGATTCTAAAAGCGACTGCCTCTGACAGTCCTATGCTTGTTCCCAAAGGACCAGTGCAGTCCATTGCTGCAGATGATTAGACAGAGTGCAGTGTAATTCTGGAAGAGTGAAAGAGACCTGGCCACATGGAGTCTTGTATTTAATCTGGGTACCTGTGGCACAGACTTGAGCAGTGTTGGGCTATAATGTGGGTGCCAGGGCAAGTTGGACTAAGGGAGGTAGCTGTGCAGAGTGTCTCCTAGGTGCCTGGTTGACGCTTACCCAGGTGTCTGCTCAGGTGACTTGTGTGCTGGCCCAAAGAGACAGGAAAACCTACTAGGCTGCCTAGTAGGCTCCTTGTTTAGGACCAGGGAGTAGCCCCAGGGCCTTGGTGAAACGGGCATGGTGGTCAGAGTTCCTTCAAGACCCGGGCAAGTCTGCAGTGCCCATGCTGGGCTGCAATGAGGGAGCTGACAATATCACTGGCAGACAGTCCCCTGGCACTCTGTTCAAGGATTCCCCCCTGCAATAAAGCAAGGCTGCTCTTCTGTTGTACACATTGTGCAACAGTGCTGCTGTGGTGGCCTTCTTGGAGTCCAAGCACTCCACTCTTCCCTGTCCCTGTGCATTATCAACAGATCTGCCTGCATCCCATGTAGATGCTGGTTGCTGAGAGGCGTGCACCCAAGGCATGCGACTTGTCTGGTGGCGGTGTCCTCTGCCTCGGGTCCCAGGATTGGGTGTTGGTCACGGGAGGACAGCATGCATAAGAACATATGGAAAGGAAATCCCTGTTTGTAGCAAAGGATTGTGATGTGCTGCTGCATGTCTTACAGCTCTGAGCTGTGCGCTTAACACCTCCCTGCAAAGAATGGGGCCAGTCACGTGTCTTGTATGCAGGAGCCCGTTCACAGTGGGAGGGGTTGGGCCGTGCAGCCTGGTCCCAAAGCCCCTTCTGCCTGTGCCGCCACTGCACAGGTAGGAGCACGTAAGCACTCCTCATCTCTCTTCTCATGACTCCAGGACATCTCGGCAGAGGATGCAGACCGGCTGCACTCCCTCTGCAGGACCGTGGCAGAGGAGGGGCCACGGGTGTTCGCCCCGCTCCCCGAGGAGAGCGAGAACCGGAAATACCAGGAGGAGGTGCCTGTCTATGTGCACCGCTGGATGACATTCAAGCAGCTGATGCTAATACTGCAGGCCAATCTCCAGGAGATTGTGGATCAGTAAGTAGCTGTTCTGTCATACGGGAAGAGTCCCCTTGGGGTGGCACAGGTAGCGGAGAGTGCATGGCCAGGGTAGGGGTCTGTATCTAGGGCATGGAAGAGTGGGGCTGGTGGTAATGGAATGGAAAATGCAGGCATAGGTCCTGCATCCAGCCCCCATCCTTGTTATCTGGGCTCCGTGTGCCGCATGCAGTCTTTGACGAAAGACAGGCTTGTCCAGGGGGTGCTGGCTGGTGTCAGGAGTGGAAACGGTCACTCCAAGGGCCCAGCCAAGAGAGGGCGGCATGTGGTTGGTGACTTGTCTATGGGACTGAAGTGAAGCCCAGCAGTTTTTTTGCTGAGGCCCCCCAACATAGCCCTGTGCTTTGTGGGAGGGGCTGGCTTTGACCAGTCTGCCGGTGGTTTCCCTCGGGGGGCCTGCCTGTGTCTGCAAGTGGCGCCTTGCAAAGAGTGCTCATATCTGGTGGAGATGGGAAGCAGTATGAAGTGTGACCCTCTAGCCCCATCTGAGCTGCCCCAGTCAGCTCTGCAGCCTAGAGGTGGGCAGGAACTGTCCTGGACCCTCTGGAAAAGCTGGCATAGCAGCCTTGAGCTCTGTTGTGCAAGAGTAGTGGGGAGAGTGGGGCCTGGCTCATGGCTGCCAGCTCTGGAACTGACCCTGGGAATGATGGACTCGAGGCACATGTGTCATGCTGATGCATGCCTCTAACCTCTTGCTTGTTTGCAACGCTTAGAGCTGCTGTGGCTGCTGCTGGCTCCTTATCCTTGCAGGAGCAGTAAATGCATGGAGCCTGGTGTTCCTGGCTGGGAGAGGGGCACGCAGGCCAAAACCACCCTCAGAGGTGGGCAGCCTAGATGAAAGGCGTCACTGGGGGCCTCCAGGCCTGGAGAAAAAGATCGGTGGCATAAGAGGGATTAGGCAGGGGTTAAAGACAGCTGCTGGCATGGTTGTTCTGAACAGTAACTGACTGGCCTTGCTCCCTCGCAGGTGGGCGGATGGCAAAGGGCCCCTGGCAGCGGAGTTCTCCCCCGCGGAGGTGAAGAGCCTGATCCGAGCCCTGTTCCAGAACACGGAGAGGAGAGCAGCCGCTCTTGCCAAGATCAGATAAGCACACCTGCCCCGTGCCACGCCCAGGTCCTGCTGCAGGCCTGGGAACTGGCCGTTCTGAACAAAGCCTGGACCCTAACTGGTTTTCTAGCACTGCCTAATTTCAGCAGTACACAAGTGCTCCTTGGAGGTCGGTGGCAGGGGAAACCCAGCCAGAGCCTGGCACACACGTCTACGTGCAGCGGTGGAAGGAAGCAGGACCTCAGGCAACCTAAGGGGACAGCGTGTCGGGACTTTCAGTTCCTGCTGTATCCATTGGCCAGCTCTGCAGCGAGGGGGTCCTTGTCGTAGGGGCTGAGCTTTGCACCTGTGGGGCAGGGGTCTGCAGCAGTATAGGTTCCTGACTGCCCTCCTTCTGACTGCTCCTTCTCACCATTGCCACTGAGGGACAGGGACAGATCCCTATCTCCAGGCTCCTGTTTGGGGGACAGTGCTTGCTGCTGCACAGGATGGTGCTGCCAGAAAGGCAGTGCTGTGTGGGGGCATTTTTTGTTATGCTGGTGGGGCAGCTGCATACTGCAGGGTGATGTGTCTGACTCCTGGGCTCGCTATCTATGCCGCTTTGTCAGTGAAAGTGTGTGAGAATTGGGCCCCCCCTGTTGTCCCTCGCCATCCCGCTCTTCGTGCTCCGAGCCCTGGCAGCGGTGAGCATCTTGGCACGGGTGGTCAGGTGCCTGGCATCACTCTGGAGTGGGTGTGTTTGTTAGCGGGAAGCCTGGCAAGGTCGTGGGCTGTGAGTGTTGTGTGTGCCGGAATGAACTGTTCAGCAGCGGTGGTTGTGAGTGCAGTGGGCAGGGGCTTTTCTGGCTGGTGTCGGGGGTGGGATCTTTCTGTCTCCCAGGGTGAGTGGCCTTAGATCACCTGTGCAGTGTGTAGTCATTTTTTGCCTTTTCAGGTGTGCAAGCCAGGTCCTGCTGCCTCCTCCCTTGCTTGTGGTGTGTGCCTGGAAGTCATCTGCTCTGCCCTGGAGGAGTGTGCCTCTGCATGGGAGTGCTTGCAGGGCTTGAGAGGGGAGCTGTGCACGCAGGGAGGCTGGCCCAGTGGTGTGGCTGAGGAGTCATGAGTGGAGGTACCTGCCTGGAGTCCCCTGACCCTCCGCCCCATGATCCTGAGGAGCTGCAGGTAGGGAGAGATGTCCCTCCCCGAGTCACCTGGCAGGGGAACTGTAGCATGCTCAGGCCTCTCCTTGTCTGGGTGGGGCAAACCAGCGTCTTCCCCTGGTCCGTGGGGTGGCAATCCTGGTGTGTGGTAGTCCTGTGCTCTGTTGGACTCCTGTTGGGGGAAATGTCCCCACGCCTTGTCTACAGTCCCTGCAGTGGTAACCAGGAGAGAGGACATTTGTGGGGGTGAATCTCTGGGGCTTTGCGGCTGCTCCAGGTGGCAGTGGGCTTGCAAGCTACCTAGATGGCCAAGTCAACAGACTAGCTGCAGAAAAAACAAGTGGCCTCATGTGGCATAGGAGCTGAAGAAAGGGAGGACTGGAGACATGTGGTGGCTTGTCTAGGGGTGTGTGTCTGTGTGTGTGTGTGGTGTCTTATGGTGGGGGGTTTCCACTTCCTCAGTGTCCTAGGTGGCAGTAGAGGCAAATCAGTGGAGCAGTTAGTTAGCTAGTTGATGCCAGGCATAAGGTGTGTTGTCTCCCATCCCAGAAGTCCCAGCAGCAAGTGCTCCTGGGCAGCACTGCTCTGGCCTTAGAGTTGGGTGGTGAGGTGTTGAGGACTGGGAGTAGTTAGTCAGTGAGGCAGCAGGAGGGAAAAGACAGGGAAGGGAAAGGGAGGAGCTGCGGCTGAGAGCTGTGGAAGAGGGCAGCTGGTGTTATTTCCCAAAGTGAGGTGTTGTGCAGCACTGTCAGTGCCCAGGTGTCCATCAGGCAGCAGCCGTGGGGTGGATAGCTAGCGGGCTCCTCTGTTGGGGAGGAAAGAGTTGTGTTGTGGTTGCTTTTTACTGGTTTTTCTCCCCTTGTGCTCTCCCCCCGGCACCTCCCTGTCTGAGAACTGGGCATGGCTGGGCACCTCCCTGTCTTGAGTCAGCTGGGCAGTGTGGTGGGTGCCGGCTCTGGGGAGCAGCCCCAAGCCTGGGCATGGCTGAGTGGCCTGGGTGTCTGCGTACTCGTGGGTGTGTTAGTATAGCCTGGTCTCCATGTGTGCGGTGACTCTGTGCAGGTGGGGTGGTGCCTGCGTGAGCTTTTGTGCTCCCACTCCTCTCTGTACCTAGTCCTCGTGCAATGTGGGTCAGTGGAGCACTCTGAGGGGGCCTTAGATGGTACATCCAACCCCACTAGCAGAGACGGTTCTTCCCCTGTGCAGTGCACTAGGCTTGGAGGGGGCTGACAGTCAGGCCTTGGTGCTGCGTCCAGCAGTGCAAGTGCCGTCCAGCCCCCGGAGGGGTTCCAAAGTGCAGAATGAGGGGAAGGCCAGAGGGCCTGGCCTACTAGGGGCTGTCTCCTGAGGCATATGTAGGGACCTGCTGTGAGCCCCCTGGGCCTGAGGCCTGATCTCCCTCTCCCCAGTGAGTCCCAGGATCTTGGTGATTGTTGGCTGCAGATGCTGGAAACTCTCTTTGGTGACTTGTGTCGAAAGAAGCAGCCTCCATACCTCCTTGTACTGCGTGCAGTCAATAAAGCGATTCCCTCCAGCAAGCACGATGTCCGTGTCTCTCTGAGGGGTGGGGTGCAGGGCCAGACAGGGACAGCCAGCCAGCCAGCCAGGTCAAGGGCAGCTGTGTCTGGTGGTTCAGCCTTGCTGGGTATTCCAGTCCTTCCATGCCAGAGGCAGCTGGGGTGGCCAGGTGAGTGTCCTGTCCTGCCTGGGGCATGGGAAGCGCTGTGCTCCTCAGGGGGTGCCAGCCCACAGTCCAGAGCAGAAGAGGCCAAAGGAAGTAGGGCAGAAGCAGTCATGGAAGCCCCAACGGCAGCCTGCTGAGGAATGGGCCTGAGAAGTTTGCGTTTAGAGAGGACAAGGAGCTTTGATGACCCTTTTGGGCTCAGCATCAGTGGAGCCTAGTGGGTGCCTTCGCAGTGATCCCAGTTCTGAGCAGACGCGTTTTTTAGAAGACGGCCCCTCTGAACAGGGTGCAGGTGTAACTCCAGAGGATGCTGCTGACAGAAACAAGCTGATCTTGTACACACAGATCTGTGCACACTGGCAGTGGACAGCACACGTAATACCCCGATGGCTGGGCGGTAAGTAACTGCGTAACTTTCCTGAATGCAGTGGATCTTGATTTATGTAATCGCACCTCATGTTGGCTAAGAGCCTTCAGCCCACTTGCTGAAGCTGATTAACACTGTGTGGTCTGTCTCTTGTAACGTGTTCTCCCGGGCCCTGAATCACACCTCTGACTTGGTGTTTTTCTTCCTCTAGTTGTCGTGACTGTACATGGGGAGGTGAGTGCCAACATGATTTCCTTCCTGTTCTTAGAAGTAGCAGGATGTGGGTTTCTATGTGCAAACGCATGAGACCTTCAGGAGTAACTTCAGCAGAGCTTCTGAAAGCCCTGGATTCCTTGAAAAACGTGTCCCCTTCACCACAAAGAGGAAGATATTTTTTAGCTTTCAGTGTGTGAGGTGGGTCTGCAGAAAGTAACTCTCCTTTTCATCATACCTCTCTGCAGGATGTCCAGGGGCAGTCTTAAACCTCCGTCTTGCAACAACATTCATCTGGGAAGTTGCACCTCCATGGAGCTCACTGCAGATCAAGGATACGAGCATCTTGGGGAGCATCACAGTCCGGGGAGCTATTTTGTTTTGGAAATACCTTGTTCTAGTGGGTCCCAAATGAGAATGCCAGTGAGATCCTTATTCCTGCCTCATGAATAAGGGGCGTCTACCCACAGCAGCAAAACACCTGGTAGCACTGGTGCTCAATGCTCTGTCCCTGACTCTTGCTGGCTGATAGCTGTTTGATGTCTAAATTCATGCTCCGTGCATCACTACAGACGGATGCACTTTGTGGAGTTACACAAGGAGCCTGGAAGCACTTTGCAGGTGAAGTGGGGAATTTTTCTTAAGACACCACCCCATGGTCACCTTTTGAGTGCTGCAGACACAAAGGGATCCAAATTTGTGTTGCCTGACCTTTATTGGCATGGTTGACAACATGTGTGAGTAGTAAGCATTTACAGCTGGTCTTGCTAATATCTTTTCTCCTTCTCTCTTTGCCCTGCAGATTGATCCCATCTCAGGAATGCTTATAAAACTGACAGACCTGAAAGAGCAGGTGCAGGTAATAATGCTACATTCCTGGTGATACCTTATAGGGGAATCGGCTGTGGCATAAAAGTTTGTATGTGCCTAGTGTGGGAAGCAGTTGGACCTGAGGTTTCTATAACTTTGATGTGAAGAAAGTCACTTCATCAGATGCTCTGATCATCAGATTTCTCTGATGAATTGAGCCTTAACTCATGAAAGCTTGGGCTACTTTGGTTAGTCTATAAGGTGCAAATCTACCCTTGCTTCTACTTGACTTCACAAGTTACCCAGTGCTGAGATTTTCTAGAACCAAGCTTCACTTCTCGTATCACGAGGACAGTCCTGTTGCTTACTCGGAAATGTGGTTGCAGCAGGTGAGGCACTGGGTGAATGGCCAGTCAGCCTGATGAGCAGCTGGGACCCTGTGTGTGGTGCTACACTTCCACTCACATTGTACAGGGCTTTAGCCATCAGTGTGAAGCAAGGGGGAGCTCTGGGCCTGTCTGCTGGATGAGTAACCAGACCGCAGCCAGGTTTTAGCTGCAGGGACTGCTCCTGTTTTGCATTAATTGCTTGGGAAGTTTTCTCATGCCATTCTTCCCCCTGCAAGGGAAAAAAGAAAAGGTCCTTCTTATGTCTGCTCTCCAGCAGTGACAGTGCAAGGACTCTGGGGACAGCCACTGGTTTTGCATGATGCCCTGAAATAGTGAAACAGGGCAGCACCCAAGGACTGATGACACGGGGTGTGTGCACAACACCGGGGTTTAATCAGCCCTAAATTGAAGTGTTTTTTTAAAACCCACCACTTCAATTTAGGGCCCCCATTTCGTCTACACATTCCCGTAGCTAAAGCTTCATATCCCATCCCCGACCCCTTGAACCATCCAGCACCCCTGTGCAGGCAGCAACAATTCCCCTAGGATGTCACAGACCAGCATGTATTGATCCACCACTTCAAAGGTTGGAATTAAATGTTACTTTAATACCCATAATAACGGTTTACATATGAAAGCCTCTTGGCAAACTCATTTCAGCCCCTTCACCCCCACCCTGAAATAATAAACACCTATTAAGCTTTCACACAGAAAGCAGCAATTTCTCGTCAGCCTCTGCAGCCCTCGACAATGTGAGAGCGATACAAGCATGGTAGAACATGACGTGCGAGGAGCGATTTGTCAGGGGCGCCAGTATTAACAAGTAATTATCTGCCAGATCAATGGAGCTATTTTACAAACCAGACTTAAGAGCCTGGTGATAACAGCACAGTGAGCTGGTATCGATCAAGCAGCGCAGGCCATAGTCTTACAGCTAGAGTGGATTGTTTTTGTTTTGCCTTCAAATTAGCACCAAAAAAAATAGACAAACCTCAAACAAAACACTTTAGGTGTGATGATGCTTTAACGATGCTGTCTGGGTTTCGTTCCTGCTTGCAAAGTGCAAACGGTGGGGGGGTAGCTCAGCAATTCCATGTCTTCCCTCATCTCTTATCCGGTGGATTGGGTTTGGATAGGGCTGATCCTGCCTCAGGCAGGGGTTGGACTGGGTGACTGCTGGTCCCTGTCAGCCCTGCTTCTCTATGACTGTGATTGCCTCAGAGTATCATCTCTTGCAGAAAGGGAAAAAAGAGAGACAGAGAGAAGAATGTGTCCCTGGAGTGGGTGGAAGGTCATCCCTCCGCAGAGTTTCTCCCCCAGGGGTATCATTTAGCTGACTGTCCCCTTGGCTCTTGTATTGCAAGATAAGGCAAGAAGTTCCCCGTCTGCCTTCTCTGTTCTAGTCACTGCCTTGTATCCTATCCCCTACTGTCTCCCCCTGCTCTAAAGGTAGCAATCACAGCTTTTTCTGTCTTTGAGGGCAGGGGAGGGAAATGGAAGTGTCTGAGCATGGTGGTTGCTGTGTTTTCCCCATTGCTGCCCTGCCTGCAAAATCCAGGGGAGACCAGAGCAGAAAGATGTGGCATTGTGTTTGTTGCAGAAGACTTTAGCTATGCCAGTTGAGGCTCAGGGCCCCATCGTGCCAGCTGCGGGATGGATGCATCACAGAGCAGGCAGCTTCTTTCCAAGGGGCTGTGCAGTCCAGGGATCACACAGGATGCGGCAGGCAGGAGGAATGAGCCCCAAGTTGATGGTGCCAACAAAATGAACAGAGCTTGGATGAAGCACAGAGCCCTCGGCACTCCCCTTGTCCAGCCGAAGGAAGAGAAAAGGTCTCAGCTGAGTGTGAGTAACCATTGAGTGTTTCCCACCTCTCCAGCTCTTTTCAACATGGCCCATCAGTACGTCTAACACATCACACCTTCCCGGGGTCTTGTCATTCACTTCTCTGGGCTTTGAATCAGGCCCCTGGTCCTTCCCTGCCCTGCTACAGATGCTTCCTGTGTATAAGGAGCTGAGCATCGTCACCCCTTAGGCTCTAATGCAGCAGCATCATAAAAGGATGTCTTCATCACCTCTTCAGTGGCCCCCTGATTCATTCATGGCAGGCAGTGCTGCCATTTGGACTGTTTTCAGTCTGCTGATTGCCCTTTGGGACGAAAGGGAGTTGGATGAAGGGGAGATGGTAGAGTGGTTGTCTGGTTGATTAGTTATGGGACAGTAATGAGAGGGTCGTCTCCAGTTGTTTTGCCTAAGCACGCTCAGCCACCAAGAAGCTGCCTCCATGTCCCCACCTTGTCTTCTGCTCTCTCTCCAAACCTGGAAAGGATTTGCACCCTCCCAGCCATGTGCACTGGGATGTGGGAGGCCAGCCAGCAGGCACAGGCTTAGTCTGGTATTGGGGGAAGAACATCCTGAAGGACATGGCAGAAGGAAGGCTGCCTGCACACCCTGAAAAGGAGCCCTCTTGGGCGTATCAATTATGAGGCAGTTTTCAGGAGATAATTTGGATTTTATTTAGCACTGAAAAAGTCTTTGTTGTTAATCTCCTCACTTTGAACATTGTCACCTGAATGGTGTTCTTTCCTATTGCATTTTTAATCTTTGTACAGTTTAGCACTGAGAACATGTAACTTTGTTTGCATCTGTGTGGCTATAGACATATTTGGCCATAGATTCAAGTTTATCATTATTAAAATTGCATCTAAAAACCCTGGTTTGCCGTAGATAAAAAAAACAAAACAAAGCTCTTCCCCTAATCCTTTGGCAATAAGCACTAAGCAAACACAATTCAATTTTTTATTATTTGTATCTAATGAGTCATTAGATTAGCACTTTTGAAATTACTAGGAGAAGACAATAAGCCTATTATTTGAAAAAGTCCTGCCTTTGATTTTTCTGGCAGCCAGTGACACAAAGTTTTGCGATGTTCAGAAAGCTGGAGCCCACTGCTCAGCATTTAACTCTTCATTTTAACAGCAATGAGTGCAGCTACCAAACCCATTTGCATCCTCCCAGCCAGCTTTGTGATGACTTCTGTCTCTTCTGGTATCGAGATGAAGCTGGCAAGCCTGTGAAGCATGCAGCCAGCACA